GACAATGGTACCAAATACTAATGAAATGTATGTAAACTTCTGACTTTCAAGAAAGTAATAAAAACATTGTCTAAAAAATTCTCTCTCTCATTATTCTGACATTTAGCAAATAGAAATAATTTTGGTAATCCTAATTGACCTAAAACAGGAAAAGTTTAATCTGATTTAATGTCAGACAGAGAGAAAAAAAGAGATTGTGTCTTTTTATACAGTGTATGTAAACTTCTGGTTTCAACTGTAGAATGATCATCTTCATACTGTGTCACACTCACATGTGAGGTACGTCACCAGTCAGTTGGTGGGCAGAAATGATATGCTGACTGTTTGCCATGAGTCATGCAGCAGAGGCCTCTCTGCGGGCAGCGAGTGCTGGAGTAATCCCAAGGAATTACAGTCCAGCAGAGGGGCCTCAGGTGAGGGTTGGGATTTCCACAGGGATTAAGACAGGAGGTGTTGGCTGCAGTGATTTCAGACACTGGCAGCCCCTGCGTGGGCATCTGACCAAGGCTGGACACATCTTGTCTTAATCCCTGTGGAAATCCCAACTCACGTTAAAAATAGAAAAGAAATTGTTACTAAATGTCAAATGTGGCAGCAATAACATGTTAGTTTGAACAGGATGTGGTGTAAGTATACTTCGTGCTGGGACAGCCAAGGAGAGGGGTGGATATATGTCTCTGGGCTCATGGTTTCCAGTTTGTTCCTGTGAATTTATGTGTTTATTTTGGATTTCTGATAAAGAGAATCAGCCACACAAATCAGATTTAAAAAATTTGAGACTTGGAGACTATGAACAGAGCTTTACAAACAGTCTTGCAGGCACAAAGAAGAGCAGATTGATCATGCACAGTGATACATTCCACATGTGTAGTAGTGACTGTTTGGATTCTTGTGTTATTACGACATAGTGTGTGACAGTTGTGATCATTTTTGGAATAAAATAGTTCTCTGAATGTTTAAAGGGTACCTTCTGGTTTCAGCCCAAACTGTCATTCATTCACCCAGTGTCCCCATCTAGTGGATACAATCTGACATAATAAGGTTTCTGGTGAGGTTTAAAATCAAACCTTGCCTTTAATAATGATCTGACCTTTTTTTGTGGCCAAAGCAGACAGTGTACATTTAAATGTATTTATTTTACCTATTAGGACAACTACCAAACACAGTAATAATGGTAGTGTAAGGATATAATCCTTCTTCAACGGTCTCATATTTTTATCGTAAGCATTCCAGCCTCAGTGGGCTGCTAGCATACTGTAATCTAAGTTTTGTTTGATTTTTTTCTTGGGGTCAGTTTAACCCTTGTACTAGGTCAGTTACAACAAGTAACAGTGCCTCAAATGAGCATTTACATGAAGTAACACTTTTCAACCCAACAGGAGTCAGTCTCTAAAGTGGAATTTTATTAAACCCTTTACGTAAATTTAGAGTAGGATTTTAACTGATTAGCATTACCTCCATGTTGGGATAGTTGATTAAATCTGGTTCCCTGCTAATCAGTGAAGAGAAAACAAAGGAACTAATTTTACATCACAGTGGTCAATCCATCACTGATATATGCACATTATGATTGGATTTTTGGAGTATCCTGGTTATGTTTTGCACATGTAAACCAAACAACTCAAATGTACACAGATGATCAGAAACCTAGATACTGTTATGATCATACAGAGATATGAATTACCTGGTTTCTCATGTTCCATGTAAACGCCATATCCCGGATGTGATCAAAACCACACTTAGGCACATATAAACACACTCACTTTATGAGTTGTTAACAGTTTCTGGAAACATACATACAGTATATGACATATATGACTGTATGAATTGACTTTGACAATGTTGATGTCTTATATTGATGTGGTAACCTGAAAAACCACTCTAAATTTAAAATTGCCTTATTTGAACTTGATTTAGTCCCATCCTTGTTTGTGTGATGTATTTGTATCCTGTAGATTGTTTTATTTCTATTTTAATTGGTGTGCTCTCTTGGCCAGGTCTCCCTTAGAAAATAAATTTCAATCTCAAAGGAAATAAATAAAGTAAAAATAAAGTAAAGTAAAATAAAGTAATAATCATCATCATCATCATCATCATGAATTATGCTGTTTAAAAAAAAGGTAAATAAGGAATCCTTTGTAACGTGTACGATAAATAGGATTACAAACAGCACGTTAACACTAGTTTATTCTATTCTTATTCTCACACTACAGACCAAATGTTTGACCTGGTGAGTAGAAAAACCTATAATTATAGATGACGGCTGTTCTCCCTTGTTCTGTTCTGAGCAGTGCAGAGCTGTAGTGGGTGTAGCTGCCACCTCCACATTTTGGTGTTATGTACAGTAAGAAAGAACCTTCCTTCACAGCCTTCTAAATTCTTCCTGACGTCTAATTAAAGTAAGAAATCTGTGGGTGTCATTTTATTTTAAGCTTGGCTGTGCAACGGAGGGAAAATGATTAATTATTGTCACGTCGCGCTGACACACTTTACTGACAGGCTTTGGCATGAAGCGTTGCAGCATTTCTATTTCAAATGTAACATATGTGTCAAAAATATAACAAAACACCAAGAATATAATGTGGGTCACTCCGGCCTGTTTCATAAGGTAATGAGCTACGGTAGAAACTAAAGCCAGTGAAGTCTTATATGTTCACATGGAAAATGGGCCGTGTCATAACGCTCTCTATCAGCCACTTAATGTTGTTCCATGAGGAGTATATTTGCATATTAGAGAGAGGGTTTGTGTGCATGGGTGGCCTACATGTGTCTGCACATGTCTACACCTGTGTTAGTGCACAGGTTATATTACTCCATGATACCTTATCAAGAGATTCATCTTGTTAGCCCCTCCTTTTGGTTACAACACTCCATCACACACACACTTCCTGCAGGGCGTGCTGAACAGATAAGACAGCACTGGTTTTAAGATACTTCAGGGAAATGAGGCACAGAGGCTCGTGTCATCCTTACACAACTTTCCAATTATGAATTTTCCCAAGAGGGAGGTTTTTGTTGGAGATGCTTTATACTGAGAATCTGTTCACAGCAGTGTTTTTATATGAATACATTTTATTTCTGTTGTGAAACCTATAGTATATAGTAAATAGTAGAAGCAGTTTTAAAGGTTGGTTCACATAATCTCCAACAGGACTTATTTTTTTCATTTCTTGTTGCATAGTTTTAGCTTTATTTACTTGTATGTTTTGAGATATATGTCTCTGCCTCCCTTCAGATACAATGAAAAAAAAAGAACAACAGCAGCATTGTTTCAAGAAAGACTGGTTGCACTGGATAATCCGTAGACCTTCCTGATAAGTTACCATTAAAACGACATTATGCTAGATAAATAGTTTCTATGAAAAGAGTGAGGTCTGTATATTATTCAAAGTAAGCTGGACACTGTTTATTGAAAGAGATGTTTGCATTATCGTATGCATTACGTCATACCACTTCTGTTAAGCAGGGAAATATGTGTTGGGTTTTTTTGTGATTTGGGTAAAGCAACCCTTTAGAGATGACTACTCCCTCTGGTCTTGTGCAAAGGTCATTGAAGGTCTTAATTGATTGGTGATCACATTTTGCTGACTGTAAAGCAATTCAACTTGCATGCTAATTTTCTGTCTTCTGACTTGTGCTGAAGAGCTTTCAATCATTGACCTGTTGTACGCACAGAGTAAAAGAAATGTGTTCAGCAGAGTTGAGGTTTCTAATGTATTAAGATCAGAGTGAGAGGAGGAATTTAAAGGGAGTTTTAACTTTTGATTTCATTTTTCATTGAACATTAAAGTTTTTTCAAAAGTTGATTATAGACTCAACTTGGATTATCTACATTTTAATAAGAGTTGTTAAATGGAGCTTCATCCTCAGTTGTGACATTGGGGACATTGTATTTAACACATATTCATGTTTCAATTCTGATATGGTCCCAGTTCACACTTCGCCTGCCATTTGTACTGTTCCCCAGTTCCATAATGTAACAATCTATAATGATTCTATAAAGTAAATACTTTGCATAAGATTTTGGCGTTTCATATAGAAGATGTGATTCACCATTTTGCACTGAGATTAAATAAGACATGATCAGAAGTCCTCCAAACTTTTTCTGTGAGTAGCTCCTCTTTACATAGTCCTTGCCTTGTAGTGTCTAAAAAAAACAACTCACTCAAAAATCAAGCAGTATGCTACATTTAGGATAGTGACATCTTAGTCACTACTAACTGGTCACGACACAGGTCTTGGGACTAAACCACCTAATTTTGGAGGGTGGATTTATAGGTCCGGAGGCCCTAAGCGATTAACATTTAAGGAAGATATTGATGCCATTGATTAAATAATCGTCTTGGGTTTTTCCACAGTCACATTGTACACTCAGGGGTGCAGAATAATAGCTCGTAGTAAGAATAGGTACAAATTGTCTTCAGGGGCCCCATGCAGCAAGTCAACGGTTAAGTCTCCTCCTGAGAGCAGAATCAGCCCAGCCTCCAGTTTCTCTGAAATCCTCCAACTTTGTGGGTTGGGTCCTGTGGAGATCTCCATCCCTTAAATGGGTCACAGCTACAGTATTTGAATGTCATCACAAACTTTGAGATCGGTTCAAAAGGCTCCTTTTCCGGTTTATTTTGGCTCCAAATGATAAGTCTGTGTTCAACATTTATTCAACAACTGCAAAACCAGACGTCAAACACTGCTTATATAAAGCATTACATAAAACAATGAATCAATCCCACAGCGCCACAACTGCGAGTTAACCAAGGACAGAGAGATAATTAGTCAAACAAAACACAATCACCACTACTGTTTCACCTGAAGGCATCTTATTGTGATTTCACGTGTGAAAACTCGATTAAACCAATAACTACGAGCTTGTTTTGATCCTCACAGACAGTCATTCATTCTGCTGTCTGAGAGGTTATACAATATCATTGCGTTATATAAGTGAGCCACATAACCGACCAATAGGAGCCCGCCTCGTGCATCACGTGACGCCCTGCGCTTGCTTCGGAGAACTGGACCTGAAATCCGAAGAAGAAACTACCTCTAGCTGCTGAAGCTAGCTGGCTAGCGACCAAGATGGAGTACCCGAGTAGCTGCTTTATTTTTATCGGGGTGTTCTCGTTTTTTAAGAAGAGGGTATGACACCCGGGTTCGTCAAAACATTCGGGCTTCGGGACACCTGGGCGAAAAGAGTTCGTTTGTGGAGTTCGACGAGCGACGAGGGGGCAGTCGGTGTTAGCTAGGTTAACCCGCTGTAACGTTAGCTAGCGCTCGGCTTTGACTGCTGCCGGGGTCTCTTATATAAAAACAACTAGCGATCAGCTGCGGTTCACTTGAGGGCTTATGGGTCTGTAGCTAACACATATCAGATGTATCCTCGACTTCCACGTACTGTAAACTATTTTAAAACCTAAACTTGGCCTTTGTTGGGTTTATATTGTATCTTTAGGACGAGTTGGTGCGACCAAATGGAAATTGAGCTTCTTACTTGCTAAGCATGGAGGACTTTACCCACCGGCTCTCGACCACACATAAAGATACTGTAGAGTCGTTTTCGTGTTGCGATGTTATCTGGAAAGTTTCAATTTGTAGCAGAAAGACGTTATCAGACCGCCTCCCTGCTGTAAAGGGGGCGAGAGAGGACTGACCAGCGGGACGCTTTGTAAATAACACCGAGCTGCTGCCTCCAGGAAGCTAGAGCCGCTGTTTGCGGGGGAACCACGTCCCTTGCTGGCGATATTGGTGGAGAAGCCATATATAGTTGACTGTTTGTGTTTCTTTAACGCGGATCGGCAACGTCCTGTTTTATTGGGGTTGAGGTCGTATGACTTGGACTGAGTCCTAACCTACCAATGGCCAGCAGTGAGAGTCGGACACACTCGGAGGTTTGGTTTGACAGCAAGACGTTAAATGATAGTTATCCTAATTTTGAGAGATGATTTGTAACCGGCGTGGAGAGTTAGGTCTGCTTTTGCCGGACTACCAGTGAACCCTTTCGCCGTCTAAGTATCTGCTTTTGCATTTGGGAGAAGAAGATGGAGACGGGAGTGAGGTCTCACCAGGGCGAGCTGTTCGTCCACCCGCTCTCCAACCCTGGAGCTGCGGGCATCTGCCCCGAAATGCTGGAGGTGGCAGAGGAGGCCAGCCGGGCTGGGGACTTTAACCTGGCCGTGGAGATCTACAGCTCCCAGCTCGCAGACCTCCAGCAGCCGGACAGGGGCTTGTGCCTCAGGAAGGCCGACTCTTTGGCCCGCGCCGGGCGGATATCTGAGGCGCTGGACTCGTACTGCATAGCGGCCAGCCTGAGTAAACTGCGCCCGGAGGAGCTTCCCCTCCTGGTGGAAACCATTGCCCGGACTCTCCGTGATAAAGAGCTGGGCTTCCCCGGGGCTTTAAACGGGCACGGTAAAAGCAGTGGCGGGGAAGATGGGATTGAAAGTGATGGGGAGTGTGGAGAGGACGAAGCACTGGACTTGTTCTCCTGTCGCCTCTGCAAGTGTCTGCTCTATGAGCCCACGACCGTGGAGTGCGGGCACACTTTCTGCAAACGCTGCTTAGAGGACGACTCTGTCAAAGACTGTATTCAGTGCAAACAAAAGTTGAACAAAAAAGACGGACTGCCACACGGCCGGAGATTAAACGTTGTTCTCAGCGGCCTGCTGGATAAACTGTTCGCAACTGAGACTAAAGCTAGGAAATTGTGGATCGAAGGAGAGCTTTTGTGGAAAACTCCGAACCTCAGTGATGCCTTGGAGAAGTACAGTGCTGCAGTGGATCTAGGTAAGAAAGCACAGCCTTCACGCATACAAGCGAAAGTGTTTAATGTAACCCTTTCTGCGATAAACGTGACAATGTTTTTATCAAAACTCTAGTGTTTTGTACAGGTGACCTACTTTGGTCAGTCTAGCTACCCGGTGTCACCGGTAAGTGGCGCCATTCCTACCGATCTAGACTGCATCAAATAACGTCAGGCGTTACATGATGCACCGTACCTCATTACCTAAGCAGCACACATACTGATACGCTGCTTGCCAGTGGAACATGCATAACATATTACCTATTTCTGCTCTGCAGGACTAGTGCTTTCACAGAGCAGCTATAGGGAAGGGATGTATGTGGAGCTCTCAAGCCCACTTTGTTATTCGGTTGTTATATCACCAAAATATTATTTATTACATTTACATTCTTTAGTAGTGACCGACTGAGGTTGGACTTAAGCATTAACCCCTCCTCTTACTGGCGGTGTTTCATAAGCTGGCACTTTATAATATGTTGGATAACATTCAGGGAAAAGTAACTGTGATAAACTCTAAAATGTTGCTATACAACATTAGTGAAAGAACATCAACTTATCACTTAAAGAAGAAGAATATCAAAGAGAAACGTTAGGATCGATGTCACTTTAAGCAGCTGTTTTTCTGAACCGCTGAGCCAGACTACAAAGTGTTCTGTTCTGTTGGCACATTACATAGAGTGTCAGTGTGTTTCATTAAGGGCAAGTCTCATGTTGCACAGTTTGAATCCTCATAGAAAGTTGAACCGACCTCTTGCCACCTCTGGCCTACATAGCCACAAACATTAATTTCCTGTGGTCTTTGAATAGATTAATGAACAACAACACGGCATTGACACCGCTGGCTATCTTAGGTGTTCACACTCATGTTGGTTGAAGAAATGTATCAACTGGAGATGAACGTGTCAATCAAAAGAAATGTAGTGCAGTCTCTTTCTGTCATTTTGAGTGTTCAAATGGCACTTTTCCAGATATTTCTCTCCCTAGATCAATATTGATTTGTGCCTTCTGTCTTGTGAAGGACTCTGGGTGACAGGAGGACAGAGTGCCTTCACAGCTTTGTCACTGCCAGTCAATGTTTTCCCAACAAATGCAGCAGGAGGCCTTCTGGTGTCCGTGATGTAGGATGAGCGTAATGGGCTCAGCACAAGTACAGCTGTTATCCAACCTGCGCCTTTTAGGCAAATGTTTTTCCTCTCGGCGGCTGCCGTAGTGTGCGCTACATTTACACAATGGAAGTGATATAAGGATGTGCGGCCTGTTTGTGTAAGAGCGCATAATGGACAGGTCCAATATTGGTTACTGAAGGAGAGATTGCAGTCTGTTTTGCAAAGTAACACAACCAAGGCAAAGCCACAGCCTAAGTTTTTGTTAATAGTTTAAGTTTATTTAAAGAAGTAACAAAATTACAGGATAATACAGTAATTCAGTTAATGAACAACTACAAAAAATGATGTGCTCAGGAAGGAGAAAACTGACTGAAAAGGAGAAAAGCACAGTGAAAAACAATAAGATAACCAGTTTACCCCTCGTGTGCCTGCTCTTTCTGGATCTCTCACATTTTCTTTCTCTCCTTGCCTAATATTTTTGTGTCTTACTTTGGTGAGAAGCTATCAGGATGTAGGTCATCCACCTTCTCTAGTAAAGCACCTGCTTGAGGAACTGCATTTCCCTTTCTATCCTAGTTGACACAATGCAATGATCACAAATCCTTCCTGTAAATGATAATTAGGGTTCAAACCCTGAAGGGGTAGGGGTCTAGACACATGAAAACCTGGCCCAATAAATGGAAATTATGTACAAATGCTTTCCAAGAGCCCAGTCTGCCAGATGGTGGCGCTGTAATTAAGGCTGCACCCCTCGCCAAGTCCAACTGATTTGAAATGGGATGCACAAGTCCAACTCAAAGTGCACCACAATGAATCCTTTTGGACCATAAAAGTCCCCCATGATGGATTTTTAAAATTTTTTTAAATTATGACTTAATTTCAATGAGAACATTGGTCAAAAAGCATTGTATTGGGTTCAGTCCAAACTAGCTGAAGTGACTTGTCAGCTTTTATGAAGCCTTGTGAAGCTTTAACTGTAGTCATTTGAGCTGCACAAAAAGGTTCGAACCCTGAATCCCTGCTTGTGGCTATATTTCCTACCAAGTTTGTTCTTGCTTCAGTGAGACAGCTGTCCCTACCCTAGATCATCAGACTTCCCATCATCGAGACTCCAGGGATAGAGCTGAACAATGCACGCCTGTTAGGATTTGCTCAGCTTTTTGAGTGCAGACAAACAATGCTGGTGTAATTTTACCTTGTTGCCCATGAAAAGCCAAAACCCAGGGAATACATTTCCCACTCTTAACCACCGACTGATTTGCACCAGGTCTGAGCTCATAGACATCCATTGTTGTTGAAAATGCACTAAAAAGAGGTTCTATAGTTACAGTGCCACCTTGATCAAAGTAATGCAACAGTTTTTTGGAATACATTATGTATTAGATTACTGTATTATAACAAAAGATATAGTTCTAGGTACACCAATATGTTTTTTAAGCCAAATTCCCACACAAAAACAAATGTAAGTAGATTCACCCACAGAGTAACTGTGACAGACATTATATACCAGCAGTTTCATTCAAAGCTATGAGAAATCATAACAAGCATGATATACATAACAACCTTTTGTTTATTTTAAGTGCAAGTCTAGAGAGGCCAGGACATTCAATTGCATCTTGGCAGTGGACAGTTTTCAATGTTAAAATAGTCTTGTTCTGTGTCTGATGGTGAAGAAGTGCTCATAAAACATAAAAAATAAACAAAATCAGATGAAGACGTTGCTAGACTATATTGTGGAAGCTCCTATTCTCCAGTCACAATGTTTAAATTTTTTATTCTTGCAGTGTCACATAAAGGCTGTTGGGAGTCAGATTATAGCACAATATTTTGGAGACATGTAAATATTGTCTGTTGATCCTGCTGTTGGTGTCTCAGCTGACTCAGCTTAGTCGGCCTCTGCACCTTCTGTTCAGTTTTTGGTAAGATGAGAGATCCGGCCTTCGGAAAACGGTTTCTCAGATAACTTGCCAAAAGGTTTCAGAATCCAAAGTTCCCCTCACAAAATGCTAAAGGCCCTGGTTGAAATAATGCTCTCATCAGACTGGAACATCTTGGTTGTTAAGAAAGTAAAGATTGATAGCACTCGCGGCGGGGGAAAGGTGTCAAAAGTCCAAATTGGGTACATAAAGTACTTGTTATACAATTAATGTCATTTGTGAAAAACCTGTTTAATGATGTGGCAATAAATTGACTGGTAATTGTCCTCTGACACCACGTATTATCACTACATAAGTTGCATAGCATTCTCACACATCAAATAGGTCACATGTCACATGTTACATTGTTGCCCTACTTCTACTAGACCTAGAAAAAGCTGTCCATCCCCTGGAGGCCTGTCCACTGACCTCATGCTGTGTGTGTGTGTGTGTGTGTGTGTGTGTGTGTGTGTGTGTGTGTGTGTGTGTGTGTGTGTGTGTGTGTGTGTGTGTGTGTGTGTGTGTGTGTGTGTGTGTGTGTGTGTGTGTGTGTGCCTTTTTTTCCCTGTGGTGTACAGTGCCCTCTTCAGGCAGACTGCTGTGTCAGCGGGCTGAGTTGCACATGGAGATGAGGAACTTCAGTCAGGCAGTGCAGGACACCAACAGCCTCTGTAGGATGAAACCGCTCTGGCCAAAGGTGAGTCACATGTTTGAAATGGACCTGCAGGGCCAGATTATATACGTGTGTCAAAATAAAGAAACCTAAAGCTACAATAGAATGTCATGTCAAATGTTATATAATCTATCTCATTAAGAGGTCTTTTTTTAATGTTCATAGGCATCAGAAAGTTGTTCTATTCCCTGACAATACTATCCACTGTGGGTTACAGTACACAGCACAGATCAGAATATACTTCCACTAATAGAAAAATTAACAGAAAAATGTAAAAAAAAAAAAGAAAAGGAAAACTGTTATTATGGTGCAGATCAGCATGAATCTTTATAAATAAATAAAATGGTGTGGCAAATAACAATTTCATTTTTTTCATATTTTTGTATTAGACTTTTTCATTTAATATAAGACATAGTATAGAAGAAGAAAAAGCAAACGAGTTGGATTCTAGTGAAGATAGACGGAATGTGAATGTGATTTTATTTCAAACTAAAATATCTTCTATTTGAAAATGGCCCACAGTCTACACATATATATAAACTGCTGGTGTAGTTAAGTTAAGCACATTATAAGTTAGGAGGACCATTCTGACATTAAGTGAATGAGTGAGGTTACAACAGTTTCTCATGTTTTGATCCACTTTAACTGTATTTTTGAGGACTTGCTTGATGCATTCCAAGTCAAAATGTCTCACAATGAAAATTCAAAGAATCTACAATTTGTAGATGGATATCATGTAGCTCTTAACATGCCATCGCAGACATGTATGTGTTCTATCTGCTGGTGCTCCTCGCAAATCATATCTAATAGTTCGGATTGGAACGATAATCCAACGATGGCAGCAGCTCTTCACAAATGATTGTGTGTTTAAACTTTTAGAATTTATGTCACTTGGAGTAAAATTAGTTATATGTGAATGTTTTTTGTTGAAGTGTTCAGAGCGGTCATGCCTATAAGTGAAAAACAAATTATGTCTTCAGACTTACTGCACGTATTAAAATATGTTGATAAATGAGGGACATTAGGTTAGAAGGTGGTGTTTATAATAAAACAACAGATGGCAACATGAGATTTTGTTTGCATGTGGAATGTAAATACTGGATTGTATTAATCACACAGTTTTTCTTTATTTCAGGCTCACTGTCTGAAAGCCACGGCGCTGAGTAAAGCAGGCCGGAATGACGAGGCCTTGCAGGAATACTTAATGTGTTTGGCGTTAAAGCCTGACTGGACCAAAGTAAAACTGGAGGCTCAGAAGGTAAGAGAAGCTTTTTTATATTGCTTCTGGTTTTAATGAAATGTCTAATTTGCCTATAAAACCCTTTTAATAAAAATGGTTATTGAAAAAAAAAAAAACCCCAGTATTTCCTACAATGACCTAATGCAACCAAAGTTATTAAAGGGAGAGATAACTGTATAATTGCTTTGTCATAAAGTATATATTGTTATATCGCCCAACCATAGTTTTCTTAAGAGATGTTGCAAAATGCTAAAACCTTTCATACAACAGATCCACACAATGAGGTGTGAGTGACTCTCACTATATCAATGTCAGTACAAGGAGAAGAAGATGCCACTCCTGATTTTACGCACTTGGGGGGGACAAACAAATTACCTATATGTATTGTGAACATTAATCAAGTTCCTTGTTTTGTTTTATCCTGCAGGTCCTTAGCGAGCTGTTCTCCTCTGTGTTTGAGAACGAGGACCTTCCAACGCCGCTGCACCCACTGCAGGGGGGGTTGACCACCCGCCTCATCAAACCCCCAGCCTTGCTCAGGTCTCTGAGGCCACTCACGCAGAGGCCTGGCTCCTCCTCACAGGTTAGTGCGCACAAACAAACACAAATACAAATACATAAATACGTTGTTCCTCACAGTCCATCTTTCCAGCACAGTTGGCATTATGTTTTGACATTTTGAATGAGGTGCAAAGCGTGGCTGTCAAACTGATCATCCCTCCGTAATCGTCCTGCTCACTAATCTCTGTCTGTCTGCCTGTCTGCGTGTCTGCGTGTCTGTGTGTGTGTGTGTGTGTGTGTGTGTGTGTGTGTGTGTGTCCAGGACTCAGAGTTCAGTGTGACTAAAAGCGCTCCAGTGGATGACTCGTCCTCCAGACTGTCTGCTCCGTGTCCCAGTAAATCGGACCCCGCTGCAGGGGAGGACAACATTAAGAGCCTTGCTGGCGTTCTGGCTATGCTGCCGGCACCCCCTGGTGGCATCAAGAGGAAACACAGTGGAGATGGACCCTCAGCAATCTTCAAGCCTCCCTCCAAACAGCTCAGACCTGGTAGGAGAAACTGTGATTCACTGCAAAATAGGATCATCCACTATTGACATAGTTGGTATAAGTTCTAAATAATTTCGCTTTAAGTCTGGGACCACCTATTGGTTATTCTGATAATAATGAATCAGTAATCAAATTCTTAAATTGGCTGACTGGTTGTTTTATTTATCAACTCATTCACTGCATACCCCCCTTAGTAAAATAAGTCATTGTATTGTACACTGAAATTGGACCTATTTGTATTTTATCATTTTTACTTCTTCAATAAGAAATCAATTATGACAAATTAAGACTGAGGCAACGTAACACTATTGTTTTTAGTACAAGTACTGGTAGTTACATTCTTCACTGAGTAATAAGTATGTGGTATGTAAGCATGTGTGTAATGTAGAAGTCCTGATCCCATCTTTGGCTCAGACAATCCAACGCTGCGTTACCCTGCAGTCTGCTTCTTTGTACTGGACCAGTTAAGCTACTTTTCCAGCTAGAGAAGAGACTGTCTGTCATTGCATCGTTTTAATCTGTACCAATGTTTTTCCCAAGTGTTAACTGTAGTTTCCTTGTGTGATATGATCGGATCATCACACTAAGATTTTCTGTTATAAACCCTAATGTGCACTCCAAGAAAACAAAGCAGAAAATTAGCCATGTGATACAACTTTAATGTAATTTGAGTGTGTTTCTTGTGTCATGAGCCATGGACTAAAAATGATAAACATGCACTGTAGGTCTAAGTAGAAGAAGAAACCTGCAGATACTAAATAACCTGAACATACAGAAATGCGTCTCCTGATGTTGTGATGTTTTGTACAGATGAGGCGAGCAGCCTTCAGACGGCTACAGTGTGTGGAGGGAGGGTGGTTCCTGCTGAGCTGCTGGACAGTGGAGACATGGAGTGTTCACTCTGCATGAGGTGACTGCACATAGTCCAACGTCTCACACACACATACATACACACACACACACACACACACACACACACACACACACACACACAAACACAAACACAAACACACAGACAAACTGCATGCATATTCACATGTGTTAGTAACAGTTTGGACCAAAAGTATTCACTTAAAATCTCTGTTTATGTGAATGCAACTGTTTTATCAGGACATGTATCTGTGTGCGATACATGCACCCCAGGCAGTATTAGCATGTTGGAGACTGACTGGGCTTTTTGCTGTTTGTCCTCCAGATTGTTCTATGAGCCGGTGGCCACTCCCTGTGGTCACACCTTCTGCCTCAAATGTCTGGAGCGCTGCCTGGACCACAACTCCAACTGCCCTCTGTGCAAGGAAAATCTGTCTGAGGTACACACACATTTGATGTAGTCAAATATGCAAATACACTGTTATTATCTTTTCAATAAAGGGCCAAAACCATATTTTGACCTCAGTGTTGTGAGTGTTGTTTAGTTTGTAGTAGTACAGACTAGAGGTGGGCGATATATATCGTTTGCGATAATATCGTCATTGTTGTTTTGACGATGTGCAAATTTCCATTATCGAGTATTTAAATTACTTCGACAAAAACAATGAAACGCCCGCGGAAACTCCTCACATCCATTAATACACGGTGCAGCAGCGCTCTCTACAGCATGGCAGGATTCAGTTACACGACTAGTGGGCCTACGTGATCACAAGACGTGATCACGTGACCTCTCGCTAGCATCCTCCTTGCAACAGTTTAGCAGCGCGTTGCGATGGTAGAGAGAAAATGCAAACACCTCCAGTCCCTGAAGCTACCGGTACTTCAGATGATTTAGTGCCGAGACGTGGGTCCTATGGGCTTCAGCGTTCAGAGCGCTAAGCGCCTTCAGCGGTAAAAAGATGTCAGCGGAGACGGTTTTTTTAGCGCAGTGCTCAGAGTGCTTCAAGTTGAAATCTGTTCAACTTTTAACACTGCTGGGCGCTCGGAAAATGAGTTTTTGAGCGCTCTCAGCGCTGTAAACGCGTTTGGTGGACACAAGTACAGTTCAGACAATTCTAATCACATTTTAAAGGATATCGACTGATTATCGTTATCGCCAAAATCCCAAAAAATATTGAGATATTATTTTTTGCCCATATCGCCCACCCCTAGTACAGACACAATTTATTGTTTAATTAGTAGATTGACTGAAAATGAATCAACTTTAGTTTTTGTAATGTATTGATTGTAATTTATCCCTCAATACCAAAAAAAATCAATTTGACAATTTAAAATTCAGAGCATTAAAATATTATTAAAGAAAACAGACGGATTAAATGATACTAACAGTTGTTGTTTGTAGCCCTAGTATGTATTAAATAGTGTCCTTATGGTCTTTGTTGTCATTGCAGTATCTGGCCACCAGGGGCTACAACAAGACCCTGCTGATGGAAGAAGTGCTGCAGCGTTACCTAGGAGACGAGCTGGCTGAGAGAAAGAAAATCCACGAAGAGGAAATGAAGGAGCTGTCCAAGTCAGTTTCACACACTCACATTATTTATTTACTACAATACACTAGTCACAGGATCAAAAATAAATATTCATAATATTTTTTTAAATAGTAACATTAAAATCCCTATACCTATACAACCTGTACAGACAAATGTCTCAGCTTATGTGGATTAGGAAGTGTTAATGTCTTAAATCAAACTGGTACAGGTCTTGTTTTTCAGCATGCAGTTAGATTCTGTCTTGTATTGTCTCACATTTATAATGGTGAAAATATGTCATTGAAAATACCTTTTAATGAAATCAATTAAGCAGTGCATTGTTTACTATATGAAATATGACTCCTTTCATTTGACAATGAATTCTGTTAGTTCCAGATAGAATTAAGCATTAAAAGTGGTTCCTGTTATTACCATAGTCTCAACAAAATATTTACTGTGTCTCTTGTAGCCTGAACCAGGAAGTACCCATCTTTGTGTGCACCATGGCTTTCCCCACCATCCCCTGCCCACTGCATGTGTTTGAGCCGCGCTACCGCCTCATGATCCGCCGCTCCATGGAGACGGGCACTAAGCAGTTTGGCATGTGCATAGCCGATGAGCTCAAAGGATTTGCCGACTACGGCTGCATGCTGCAGGTGAGTGTGTGCATCTAGAGCTGGTAGACGATGTCTTTTGTTTGCTTATTTTCCTCTGGCACATGTCCTTATCTCACTCTGAGATTCTATAAATAAATAAAGGAAATACAAAACAATCTGTCTTTCAGGTGCGGGATGTGAAGTTTTTTCCTGACGGTCGTTCAGTGGTCGACACCATTGGTGTGTCGCGGTTCAAGGTCCTCACCCATGGCCAAAGAGACGGCTACAACACCGCCAAGATAGAGTACCTGGAAGACAAGAAGGTGGGTGTGTTGTCTGTTAGAGCTCCTCATTTCAAACACTTTACATCATGCTGCTGTCAAGCAAATGTTACACAAAGTAGAACTCAGGTTTTTGCCCCAAGCCACTCTGAGACAGTTCAACAGCAAGGGGAAAGTAACAGTCATGAGTTCCCTTCTCTGTGCCACTGGCAAATTCAGTCTTTCCAGAGGGGAAAAAACAACCTCTTTCTACACCAATAAACACATAAGTTAATGAATATGTGCTTAAATTACTCTCTTTTCAGTCAGGTGGAAAGGGTTTTGAAATTGGAAATTATGCAGCCTCTGCCATCTTTCCTCTGCTCAGTGGTTTTTAATAAAAAAACAAAAATCTCTGTCCAAACAGGTGGAGGCGGAGGAGCTGGTGGAGCTTCTGAAGCTGCACGACTCCGTGTACGAGCAGGCCAACAGCTGGTTCACCTCCCTGAAAGACAACATGAAGAGCCAGATCCTCAGTCACTTCGGACACCTTCCCAGCAAAGACCCCGACCCACAGGTAGGCAAATATCTGCGTAGCATAGTCTTACTGCTTTTACCACAAAAATAGAAATACATGATGAAACAAGATGCCAGTTTACATTTTAGTTTGATTAAGGATAAATGTGTGCAACAATATAACTGATGTGTGCTGTCTTTTATGAGAGGCAGGATTTTCAGAAAATAAGATCAAAAGAGGGAAATCTGAATATAAACACCATATGCTTAAAAACCTACCAGGAACATTCTGTGTCCAGCCATGGTCCTCGCATTAAAGCTGCATTCCTCGGCCTAACCAGAATGTGTTTTTTTTTCCTAGAGCAGTAAGGGGAAGTAGGACGATAACTGTTTCCACTCTCCACTCAAACCCTTTCTCAGCTGCTCCATGATTTCTGTTTTCTGCTCACACTGAGAGAACCAACTCAAATGCAGTAAAGTTATTGACCTACAGAGTCAGTGGGAAGACACACACAGACAGATTCATTCTGCAGCTGACACCAGTTTAGTTGTCACATACAGGAATTAGATTAAATGCTTTACCAAGTCTCTATTACAGTACGCAACCTTTCTAAACCCCTGTGAGCAGTGAAAGTTGTTATAACTCTACTGTATATATCCGTTCTCTCCCTCAGGCCAGTCCCAGTGGTCCGGCCTGGTGCTGGTGGCTGCTTGCTGTCCTTCCATTGGAGAATCGAGCCCAGCTCACCATCCTGGCCATGACCTCCCTCAAGGACCGCCTCATTGCCATCCGCAGGGTCCTCATCTTTGTTACACGCAAGAGGCCGCGGTGATTGCCCAGCCGCTCGGGGCAGACACCGCTCGGACTTCTATGCAGTTCAGCAATTCATTCATTCATTTATTTGGTCATTCATTTGGTCACTTATTGACTGATTCATTGACTCATGTATACATGTGTTCAATCATCCTTTTACTTGCCCACTCTTACATCAGTTCATTCTCTCAGAAGCTCATGAACTCCTTCCTGTGTCATGCAGCCTGTCTGAGCACATGCGTCAGGTCTGTTGAGAGCGTCAGGTGGGCCGGGGTGCTGACATGACGGTAATCCTGGTTTCTCGTCTCTCTGTCCGTGTGTCCAGCCACCCACCTCCACCTGCATCTTGGATAAATTGAGCTACAACACATCTCTGAACGAGTGACCTCTCACCTGGTGTTCTCTCTTGAGGCAGAGGTAAAAGCAGTCAGGCCAGCTGTTTCACTTCCGTTTAGGCCACCTCTGGGTAATTAGCCCGACACTCTGTTATGAAGGAACAAAAAAAAAAAACATGTTATCACAAGAGCAGTGTGAGCAAGAGGAATGAATCTTTTCCTACATATACTAAGCAGTATTTTCACACAAACTGAAACAAAAGTTGGCCCGCCACAGAGCCGCCTGCCCCCTCGCATCCACAACTGTGAACATTCGTACAAGTGCAGTCAAAACAAAAACTCACTCACTGAAATATGAAGCAAAAACAGAAACAACACAAAACTGAATGTACTGGTCTGGCTGTAGTATGTGGATGTGTTTCTCCCTTCTGCATTTACAGAATCCGTTCGGGGAGTTGCACATGCAACATCTGCTTCACCCTAAATCTCACTGACTGAGCCAAAATTCATGTGCAGAAACCTGGAGCTTTCTATCTGGTGCCCCACCCGGCGGTGGGCCCGTACCTCAGACTGTCGGATAGAAAGCAATGGGCGCCATGAGAGTCATTGCAGGGTGGATAGGATTGTGATTATGCTAACACTAATAAAACCACAGACTACAATGTGTGAGAACAAGTACAACTCTACAAAACATGCTCCACTCGTCATGAAAGAAGATTTCAGTTCAAATCTAAGTCGGGCAATCGCACAAGTTCTAGTTGCATTTTGGAAAAATGCAAATACAAATGCATCCTCCCAGACACAGCTGATCTGGAACTTTATGTCCTATTGTAGCATATCTCTGGGACTTGATACAGACGTAGTAATTGGGGTTGATTGTGTATTTTCTTTTAGGTTTTTTTGTTTTTGTTTCACTCTCTCTGCTATGCCCTTAAGTGTATGTGTATGGTGATATTTTAAGTTGGGTGATTTATATGTATATCAATGTAACTTGGAGGCCTTTGTAATGATTTATTTAAGGAACATTTTACCCTCTCTCTCTCTCTGTTTCTCAGTACATTTACATGCACTGTAATGCAAATGCAGTGCTTTAAGTTGTCCCTATTGTTTAATTTTCTAAACAAACAATCTATGTTTATAGTCAGCGTTTCTCAATAAAACACATTGTGTGTATCCTGACTTGTTGAATAGTTTTATTAGCAAAGAGATTTTTGTATATTTTTGAACTTGCATTGTTTCATCTTTCCTCCCTGTCTTTACTGGCACAATGCCGTGTCTCTTGGCGCTCATTGTCACCAAAAAGCTCCATAGCTCTACTTGTAAAAAAAAATCCACATGATGCTTGAAAGAAGATGATGTTGCACAATAATAACCCAACTCTTCCTGATAGTTGAATTAAAGGTCCCATGTGGAATTTCTGACCACTAGTAGTGCTGTAGAACAATGGTTTCACGAGTGGGTCCCTGTCTTGTTTGTATCCCGTGCAAGAGCATGCAGGTGTCCCAATATGGGTTCCTGCTGGCGGTTTCAAGCTGTCCCACTGAAAACAGCTGGTTGTTTGAACAAAAGAGACGTAGCGATGTGCCAGCAAATTGCAGGGAAGAAGATGATGAACAATGGAGGTTTCAAAATATTCCAAACATACGCTTTGCGACTGTTTTTAGTTCATTTTCAATTTGTTTTGGGGAGAAACACTGAATGTAAACCTACCTGCTTTTCATTTACAATAAAACTCAACAGCGTGTGTTAAAAGGAAGGAAGAATGAATGGTGAAGGTGTCGATGGCTTAAATTGAGCTTTGCAAGATATGAAATGTCACGTATTTCCAAGCCCAGAGTAAGTCCAAAGAGTGAAGAGCAGTCAGACAAATTATGCTTAACTTTAAGCTGGTCGAGCTGCTTTAAGAGGACAGCCATGGTTGTAACTGCATTCTTATAGTGCGTGTAAATGCACTGTTCTCTGTATAATTCTGTCCTTCCAAATGACTCCACTGCAGTTACTCGCTCCCTGTACAGGGGAGGGGTTCACAACGTGCTGCATTTCCCTGGTATATTTGTAAAGGGAGCTCTTATACCTATTTTTTATTGCAAATAAAGAAAAACACATTCAGTCCTGTCTCTACCTGTTGTTTTGTATCATAGCTGTTCCATTTTTGATAATTTACTGAGAGATCTGTCATGCTCACATGTGTATGTATTATTAAGCAAACCCTACTATGAAGCACTTCTAGAGATTTGTCATGAAACCAAGTTAATGATAGTTTAACATGCCACTCATCAGTGTTTTGTTAATTCTGATCATCCACAATTTGGAAGGTGATACAGTCTGGTGAAAATGTGACTTGCTCAAGGGCACAGATCTGTAAGTCCTATAGACATTACTGTACATGGAGCTCACTGTATTAAAATAGGGCTTTGATCCAAAGGAAGTTAGCTGTTCGGTCTATGAAGCTGTTTTTTCCTGCCTTTCACTGGGTGAAGTGTAGGACAGAAAAAGCTTACAGCACTGGTCCATTAAATAAACACCACCCACATTTTTTCCAATAAAACTAAAATATCTTATTTTGTAAATCCTGGTGAAGTCACATGACTGGATGGCTGATGATGATTGGATGATGCATAAATAAATTAGAAATATACTCATACACCACTGTGAGGAAGGCCAGATAGTCAAGAACATTAGGGCAATAAAGCACAGCGCTGGTTGAGTCTGGAGAGACTGTCTACATTCTCCATTTTATTCAGTGGATATTATATATATCTTATGTTAAATGAAATATTATGAGACACAGATACATCAATGTGATATCTGATTCCTCAGAGAGAGACACATATAGACTACATGAATAGATTCCTGAATCTGGTTTGAAACTAGGGAGGCCTTGAGACATCTGACCTGAGCTGAGCTCTCCAGGCTTGACCTGAACTGTCCGGATTCACCAACCCTATTACTACTACTATGCTTCAAAAACACGTAAGTGAGCAGGGAGGTAAAAACACTGAGCAGGAGACTGATGAGATGATCCCTTCCATACTTGGAGACGAGGCTGCAGTCTTGGCTGGCATCTGGATCAGCCACTGTAGTCCAGACAATAAGCATCTTCTTGTCTTTTCTCCTCACAGGCTCCGCCACTGAAGGCGTTTTATATAGTCTGCACAGTGAGACTGTTGCTGGGCAAAGTGAATTTGGGATGTTTCTTTTTTTAACATTTCTCCCTCTATCCCTGCTTGACCGTGGGACGCAGTAGCAACTGCGGGCCACAGGGGGGCAGTGTTTGTTAGTGAAATAGCAGGTGAGACGAATTGCAGGGGCATTGAGTTCATACAGGGTTCTTACTGGGAGGAGAGAGAGAAGACAGACAAAACAGAAAGGCAGACATCCCAGATAGCAAATTGTGCTTCCGATTAGATTCCGAGAATGACAATTTAAACGTTCTTGGGGGGACAAAATGTCCTGCAGCAACAACATTAACAAATTCATGTATAACATTGGACATGTTTTGACACCACTTGATGTTACATAAAGTACATTATGTAAACTGAGCTCTGGTAAACATCCTCTCCTGACAGTATTGTCACCAGAACGCTCTGCCATTATCTACAACAAGTGAAATTCAGTGAGAATGTTTACACCTGAGTGAACACTGAAGGATCTTTTCTATTGTATTGTCGCATTCAAACTATCTTCCAGAATATGCAGAACTTGAATGAACGTTATGAAAGGAGACAAAGTGGTGGCTCGCAGGGTTGCTGTAATAAACCTTAACTGATGAATTCTCGTGAATGGTATGGCCATAAGAGATATGAAAGGTGCTTCATTGCTTCTTCTAGCCTCCGTTACAAAGGACCCCTTTACCAGAGGCAAAATGATGGAGGAGGTGTTCCCTTGAGGCTGTTCCACCATGTATGCAGCTGCAGTGCTTTCAGGCAGTGAGCATCGAGCTGGGGCACTCTTGTGTTTTTTAGCTCATACCCATTATAAACCCATCTGAAACCCACCCTATCCACTGGAGGTAAACTAAACCCATTAAGTTGCCACTTCCTGCTTTTATTGTGGTTCAGATCAATGACAGAAGGAAGAGAGGACCATCCGTCTGTCTGTCCACACTTTGATGCAGAGCAAGATGTCTTAACAACTACAGGCCAGATTACCATGAAATTCTGTGTGGATGTTCATGGTTCCCAGCTACGAAGAAGGACTGTGGTACCTGTGCTGCCCTTTGTCTTTCACCATCGTATGATCCAATTTTATCCCTGACAAGCATTTTGGTTCATGTCAAGCTGCCTTGAAAAGTAATGCCTGGATTGGTCAGGGCCAACAGAGGAGGAGGAATGCTATTTTCTGAGCACATTTATGCACTTCAGACAGCATTTCAAGAGAGAGATTGCCATGCCATTTGCTGAACCCATTGATGGTATAACCTGAGAAGACAGCTGGACTCGTGAGATTTTAAAAGAACACGAGAGAAGCCATCGTGCAAGGAGTACAGTGGTACCAAACCAATCAGCACCCTTTTGTGGAAGTACTGGCAGGTACGTAGTTGTGAGACAATGAAAAGACCTTGTTCGTTAAACAACAATGATGGCTCCCATAGAAGTCAGTGTAGATGCTCCTAGCATCAGTTATATCTAACCTGAGTATTTCAAATTGAGGGCTTTTCTCAGTGGAATAGATATTTGAGTTTGACTACGTTATATGGTTTGTTGATCTGATTGGGATTCAGTTGGCCCATCCTGGACGGTAATTTCACAGATGGTAGGACAGATAGTTTGTCCAATATTTGAAAGTGCCTGTCCTTTTCCAAACAGTTTCCAAAAATGGTTCTGTTTAACCCTTTAGATTTGAATGCACCATAGCACCATCCAGAGGACAGATTTAGCATTTTTAGGCCCGCAATCAACAGGCATCAAAAACCAGAAAAACTGCTAATGTCCTATTTGTTCCCATTGATTCTTTGTATCATCCAGTCAGTGTGATCACCATCACACTGAAACCATAAATCATATGATTTGTTTGTCCATCTGAAAAGATAAAAAGAACATGATTCCCATAAGTACATGTTTTCTCTCTGTTTTGATCATTGCTTGGGGCTTTGTTTACTGTATATCTACATATTTGCATCATTATATATTTATTTACTCTACTTTCATTTCACTTTGTTGTATGTTTAAAGGCTGCTGCAAGGTGAGTTTCCCTTCGAAGGAACAGTGAGGTAATGTTAGTCCATCAGAAGGTACCAGCTGGTGTTGGTAACAGGAATCTATCTCAGAGGCAGCGGTCACATTTGAGTTGATTGTGACTGTTTCTTTTACTGTTAACATTTTTGTGTCAGGAGTGAAGAAGCCAGACCAGATTTTAGGCCACAACATGGATTACATTTATCAGTTAGTTTTTTTAGGATATGTTTTTTACTTGTTCCCCAACACACTGATGTGAGGAGCTTCTGACTGGTACGTATACCAGTGGGACTACAATTGGAATCATGGGCATTAATTGTTAAACTACAATGGTGTTATTCTTTAAGGTCACTAACCCTGATACTGACAGTTTTATCCACATGGCAGTACCTCTTTTTCTGTTTGTCCCGAAAAAAGCACCGCCCTGGTTTACATTTGTACACTAACACACTCTCAGTCCTGGCAAACTCTACTGGCAATGAAAACAACTACATGGTTTGCTCAAGGCTTGCTTAATCCTGGTTTTAATATTAAGTGTGATGCGGTGACAGACCAATTGTTCCAGCTTCAGTAAATACCTCCCTGACATCCTGACATTGCCCTTCTTCTCTTTGCTGGGACGTACACACACACACACACACACACACACACACACACACACACACACACACACACACGCACACACACTTACTCACTCAGTTTGTACAGAGTGAAGCATAAAAGAGGAAGCAGTTGCATATCAAACACAAACAGACAGTGTTTGCTCAGTGATTGGGCCGTCCAAACACAGAACCCCAGACACACACACACACACACACACACACACACACACACACACACACACACACACACACACACACACACACACACACACACACACACACGATGGAGTCAGAGAAGAAAGAGGAAGCAGACAGACGATTCATTTGATTCTTTTTCCAAAACTAATAATAATACATGAGAAGAGGAAAAGTGTTTTTAACCTAGATCCTGCAGGGAATAAAAACTAATTCTAAAAACATTTTTTATTAAATTGCCTTTTAATTAGACTTTTATTTTGTTTTATTGTCTTATTCAACTATTTATTTACAGATTTTTAATAATTGTCTTTTATTTTATTATGTCTCTGTTTTTAATTCTTGACTGCACCTTAATTTGCAATTTCTCTGTATATTTCCTGTATAGTTTTTATGTCTGTGAAGCTTGGTTGTGAAAATTGCTATATAAATAAAGTGAGTTATTATTATTAATATTGCAGGTAAACCATAATGACTGTCAACAGTTTTTGTGTTGGGATTATAGCAGAGATCTTAGAGACAAATATATCAAAATGGCAGCACACGTATGGCTCAAAGTTAATACACACACACACACACACACACACACACACACACACACACACATAAATATGGATTTATCTGAAAGCTGACACTCTGATTGACTGTTATCTGGTCCTTGTGTGACCTGATTGCCAGCTGTGGTTGTTGAGTCAGGGTGTTTATGTGCTGTGTGTGTTTTGCTAACATTATCAATTCAAATGCATCTACACACACACAAGCAGGCGCACATTTAAGCAAATGCACATTCCTATACACATACACACACACACACACCAGTCGGACAGGCTTGCATCAGCCAGTGGTGAATAATACTCTCAGTTTATTTATAATCACCAAAGGAACAGTAAAACACACATTGTGTATTGCATATTTAGATTCACATCTCCCCTGACACTTCACAAAGCTACGCCTGCAAACATTGTCCACCTCTAAGGCGTGGATGTGTGGAAGTGGGTGTGTTTGTCACAGAGATTAAGCAGCATTGTTGCTAATTTCAGGTTCAGCCAGGTCGCTTGCATTGTTAGAAATGTGTCCCTAATTACCAACCCCAGATTTCAGGTAGCATCCTCCACACTCCTATTTTTGTTTTGTC